ATACCTAAGTAATTTCAGCTAGTTCTGTATTCCAGAAGTGTGAGGATACTAAGGTATAGTTTAGTCTATGGATTCTCAGTCTTTAAGGTGTTAGGATTTTTCTCTGAGAAAGCTTGTGAAAACTGAACATAGGCCCTTCTCATGCCATTTTGGTCAACTTTCTCCCATATCTGCATTTATTTGCTCTCACCCTCTGCTCTTACAAAGCTATGAACTGTGGTGCAGAAGATTGCAAACGTGGTTGCCAAGGAGGCTTATGGCTATCATTCAGCATTGAATAATAATGTTGCTCCACTGGGTCATTAGAACTGTTGCCTTTCCTGGACATTGAAAAAAATCGAAACTGAAGTATCATTTTATTAGCATCTTTCTCTAAAGCTTAGGATGAGAGACAAGTATTTAAAAAGATAATTTCTTCTCTTCATCTAACAATGAACAGAATTGCTGTTATTAACTTGGATGCAGCTTTTTATTTAAATTCTCTAAATCTGAAGACAGGAGTTTTGATGTGAGCAATATGGTCACCTATATGCACATAAAGTATATCCACACCATAGGTGATGGTGGTATACACTGAAAAGAGATTCTAGGTATTGATAGGAAAAGAACCTGAAGGTTAATAGTGCCAGAGTTTGCTGACAGTTCATATCACAAGATTTGAGGACGAATGTTGAGTTCTTTCAGCTGTGTTATAATTGCAGGCTATGGAAGACCATTGCCATGTCCCATTATTCCACCACCTGCTCTCTCCATGGGATTCAGCAGCAGGAGTGGCCATGTTGGCCTGGCAGAGCTACCCCTGGCAGACATTAAAAGTGTTAATTTAATAAGTCTATGTAATTAAATATGTGGTTTCCTGTCTATGAGAAGTCAGATTCAGCCCCTACTGAACCTGACTGGGATGCTAGGAGCTTGTTTGGCTTGCGTTCCTTGTCGTCGGAGGTGCTAAAGAAAAACTGTTTAGGTACTTGCAATAAATGAAATTGAAAGGGTCATATCTGGATTATCCCAAGAAAAGTTAACTGAATTGTTTGAATGGCATACTGGATGAAATTTGAAATGAACCTAATATTGCTAATTACATTTTCTCAAAAAAATCAAATGTCTTTTTTCTACTTTTGTTTTTTGTGGAGTTTAGAAATGAAATCAATTTTAGCTAGTCATTCTATGAGGAGGATAACCAGGTTGCTCCTTATCTAGATTCCATGACCATATCCCAGTGCAAAATAAGGCACCTGGTTTCCCCAGTATCCCTCTGACACTTGGGTTAGGCACTTTCTTACTCAAACCTAGAAGGTGGTGGTGGTGCCAGGTGAGCCAGAAAGACCCAGTTCAGCTCCCTGACTCAACCACCTGGGGAAGTGAACTCAGTCTAAGGTGACCAAGGAGGCAGAGTTGGGCAAAGGGTTCTTGGTGGGCGAGTGATGACTCATCATAGAAAAAGATCTTAGTGGTGGATAAACATATGCTTAAAAGAATATCTAAGACTTTACAATTCCCAGAACATTATTGTTACCTGAAGAGCCTTTTAAAAATCTTTTGTAGATGTATATATAGTATAATATATAGTAGACAAAAGTATAGGTTTTTCAGAAGTAGTAAAAATGGAGGAAAACTGAGTCAATGCAGGGTTTATGGATTGCACTGATATTCTATAATGATTCAGAAATACCTTGCAGGTTATGATGAAAAAGTGAGTGGCCTTCAGAATCCAGTGAACAGAGGATTTCAGAGGAAACACTTGTGGAAGGAAAGCAGCAAGCATCTACGCATGAGAGATGTGCTTTCACATTAAAATAAAACAAAATAACTTGATAGGCAGTTCTCAACATATAGTAGCCAGTAGTGGTTTGACAGTTGACCTGTGAGGAGCCCTGACAGTCAGCCAGCTGCAGGAATGGCCCTCACTGTCCTCATCACAGGGCTCCACCTTCTCTCTGCTGGGACATCAGTGGTGGAAGCGTGGTCCTGGAACACCCCATTAGGATTTAGAGTCCATTTTCCCATAGACAGGAGGGTGGGTTGTCTTCCTGATCTGCCCTGGGAGGCCAGTCACACTGTAGGACATTGTTTTTATAAAAAATGCAATCTAAGCTTCAAAACTGACAACTTATGGACACCAGAGGTTTCCTATATGTCAGGCTGAAATGGAATTTCATATCTCCAGGTGAACCAAGGAATTCACTGGCAGTCCAGTGGTTACGACTCAGGGCTTTCACTTCTGAGGACCCAGGTTTGATCCCTATTTGGGAAACTCTGATCCTGCAAGCTGTGCGGCTTGGCCAAAAAAAAAAAAAAAAAGGACTGGATTGTTATTACGACCTTAAACATGACTATTTATCTGACATTCTCTGAATTTGAATAAAGGGACTTAGATAAGGGCAATAGAGTCATTTTGGGCTTCCCTTGTGGCTCAGCTGGTACAGAATCTGCCTGCAATATGGGACACCTGGGTTTGATCCCTGGGTTGGGAAGATCCCCTGGAGAAGGGAAAGGCTACCCACTCCATCCAGTATTCTGGCCTAGAGAATTCCATGAACTGTATAGTCCATGGGGTCGCAAAGAGTCAGACATGATTGAGTGACTTTCACTTTCCTTTCAACGTAGTCATTTACATGTGTAGCATGAGCCCACTTGATTCTTCCTCCACACCCAGTTTTAACTGAGATGACAAAAGTTGAATGGTTCTCTTGTGTTCTGGCAATACATATCTAAATAGGTTGGGGCTCCTAGTCGGTGGCTCAGATGGTGAAGTGTCCTCCTGCAATGCGGGAGACCCAGGTTCTATCCCTGGGTTGGGAAGATCCCCTGGAGAAGGAAATGGCAATCTACTCCAGTATTCTTGCCTGGAGAATCCCATGGATGGAGGAGCCTGGTGGGCTACAGTCCAAGTGGTCGCAGAGTCAGACACGACTGAGCGACTTCACTTTCATTTTCCTAGTCCTTCAAGGTCATTCCACAAGGTCAAACAGTTGCTGTTTTCCCCCCACCTGACTCTGAAGTGTGGTTCCTAATACATCTACCTTCCCCCCACCTGAAGTGTGGTTCCTAATACATCTACCTTCAAGGGCAGTGAACATAGTAGAGACACAGGCCCTGTGCTCTGAAGGAAACTGACTTAGAAACAGACACATCATGGGAGACTTCCTGATTGTTCTCACCTTTCTTTCCTGGGCAGCATCAGCAATGATTGCCTTTAAGGATACTGACCCAAAAGAGGGTTGAGAGGGAGGAAGGGGAATGGTGAAAAGAAAAAATAGCAGTGCTACAAACAGTGTTTGTCCTATGTGTTAGCCAGTGATCCACATGCTTAAGCCATTAATGGAGATGCCATAATGAAAACTTTGAAAAAGAAAAAGGGAGATTTTCTTTAATGAGTTTTATATTTGCTATTGAAAAAGAGAAGCATCAAAGCAGTCATCTTGGAGAAAAAACTTTGCAGGATGTCTTTCTACATATTTTGAGCTTTGGCATTGTTTTTATTTTGAATTACCTGTGGGGACGAGGAATATACTGCAGTCCTTTTGGTACTTAGGGCTGTAAGGGTATCAGCTGGCCCCGAGTGAACGGGCAGGGAGGGGGATGAGGGGTCTCCAGTTTTGCATGACGCCATGGTGGCAGCTGCGTTGCACCCGCCCAGTGTGCAGACTGAATGCATGAACCCCTGCTTGATGCCCCACATGAAGCCAGACCATGGGGAGGTTGCAACCAACTTTTGTTGTTGCCTTGTGATGTCTTGCTGGTTCTCTTCTTTTCTCTTTTTAAACGTAAGAACCTCTTTTTAGGAGACTGGACACTGTGAACGAGGCATTTTAACTTGCTTATTTCAACTAAGCTAAGCTGCTCCATTTGCTAAACTAACCTGAGCCTGTGTCCATTCTCCTTGGAGTGTACCATCTTACTGTGCACTCTGGTTTTCTACTTTCTAGGTAAGAAAAATGCTTGTTCCAAAGTGAGGTAAGAGCTCACACCCCAAGGCAGCAAGATAACTGAGTGGAGCAAAGTTTTTTTTATTTTGTTTTTGTTTTTGTCACTTTGGCAAAAGCCAGTCCACAGATACAGAACTCTTAAGTTCCCAAAGGAAGCAGTTATAAGACTTTCAAAATTATTTCTTAGTTTTTCTAATAGCCCCCTAAGTGGAAGAGCCTCTTGGATTAATTTATACCTAGTTAAAGTTAGCTATGTCATTTCCTTCTGAAATCTGCTTCCCTGGTATCTCAGTTGGTAAAGAATCCACCTGCAATGCAGAGACCCTGGTTTGATTCCTGGGTCGGGAAGATCCGCTGGAGAAGGGATAGGCTACCCACTGCAGTATTCTTGGGCTTTCCTTGTGCCTCAGCTGGTTAAGAATCTTCCTGCAATGTGGGAGAACTGGGTTTGATCCCTGGAGAAGGGAACAGCTACCCACTCCAGTATTCTGGCCTGGAGAATTCCATGGACTGTATAGTCCATGGGGTTGCAAAGAGTGGGACAAAACTGAGCAACTAATGCTTTCACTTACCTATCATGAACCCCATAATCCAGGAATAGCCAGCCCGATCAAAGGTGGAAAGTAAGACCCTGGTTTGATTCCTGGGTCGGGAAGATCCACTGGAGAAGGGATAGGCTACCCACTCCAGTATTCTGGCCTGGAGAATTCCATGGACTGTATAGTCCATGGGGTTGCAAAGAGTGGGACACAACTGAGAAACGTTTACACTTCCTTCTGAAATAGACAAATTGGGCTGCTGAGGCTTTCTGTGGTTTACAGTGAACAGCTGGAAGCGTCTTTCAGCCTTCACAAATGGATATATGCTGGCAGGGAGGGTGTAACAACATCCAAAAGTGTAAACTGTTCTGTGTTTCAAGTTATTTTGGACAATCTGCCTTGGGGTGAGTTGATTACTTTGCTCTGGAACTAGCGTTACTGTCATTATCATTACCCTTCTCTCATCATGATCTGATTAATATTGTGGATTTTTCCCCTTCTGCTTGCATCTTCTTTTGACGCACTCTGGAAGAAATGTCAAGAAGAGGAGGTTTGATCCTACTCAGCAAGGCCCCATTTGAATCAGCGGCCCTGGATGAACAGCATCTTGCACTGTGGGATTCTGGGTATGACATACTTGCAGCATCGTTGCCAGAACTATTAAGTCTGTGAACAAAAACCTTGGGTGGTAATGACTAGAGAACTAACGTTGGGGTAACAGGGATGGGGTCAAAGAAAACTGTCCTTTTTGGAAATAATTTCAAAGAACCCCTCCCACCACCTATCAATAAAAGGGAGCAAAAGACAATATTGTACAAAGAACTATTTCAGAATTTTTTTTTTCTAAGGAAAGGAAGAAGGAACAACAAAAATTAAGTGCAATAAAAGAACCATTAAAAAATAGCAAAGGATCTTTTTCTTTCCTCAGCCTGCTACCACTTAATATCTTCTAAATGATTTAGCATGATTTTTTTTTCTTTTCTTACCAATGACACACTCCAGCGGCATGAAGATCTAATTTTCGAAAGGGTAAAATCTGCATGGCCTATATACAACAAACAGCTATCAAGCCAATCCACAGCAAAACCTGCAACTGATTTCCTAAGATGAAAGTGGCAGATGAACCCACGGAAGCTGCCTGCCCCCATCCCCCTGCTTCCTAGTCTTGACCAGGCCATGAGGAACTCCACACACCCCTGCTCTTGTTGATTCACTTCCTGTTGTCTTTTCTCCTGGACCTCACATCCTTTGGAAATGGTAGCTGGAATTTGAACAATGATGCTATTGTATAGTTCTTTTATAAATGTAAATATGGAAATAGATTTTGACACATCATTTTCACTTGTCTGTACTGAAATATTTCTCTTGTAAAGGTTGTCTGTAAATTTGAGTTTATTGTTTGTTCTCCATCATTTTGATTCTTTTTCTCTATTTCTCTTGTCTCTATCCTCTCTTGTAACATGTTGTACAATGATTCTTGAGTTTGCTTAAAAAAAAACAAACAAACAGATATGGCCACAGATTCAAGGAGTTTGGGCACAAAGCAGGTGCAATTAAAAAAAAAAAGAAATGATTGAATGAGATGAAATGCTTGAAACCAAAAATAAACAAAGGGTGGGGGACACAAAGAACAAAACAACCCATAAGAAAAGCATAAAAATTATGTAAATGCAAATATATGTACTCACAAGTCTCTAACTTTTTTGATGTCATTATAAACATCTGTATATAATGTAAGAAAGTAGATGCCCTCTCAAATTAATCACAAAAGTGCCAAGCTCATGATGTTAGTTTTTAATTTTGACAGTTTTCTTTCCCTGTCTTTAATGTGAAAGGAGGATAAACTTAAAGCCTTAAATTCAAAAATAATTTTTAAATGTTGAAAGCTTGGGGAAAAAGTTAAACTTTTCATTTTATTCCATATCTATTATTGTCAGTATTTCATTCATGCCTTCAACTTCCTGCCTCAAAATATATATGGTGGATCCCCACTGTAAAGCTGGCAATGAGGACAGAAACAGCATTTACCTTTTCCTGAGCACTTTTAAGATAGGCTTTAATTCTGTGTGTTGTGTTTTCAACCAGCCTTGTCTGGCCCTCAGTGTATGACTGATCTGTGAAATGTTGTGATGGATTACAATGGGATTCTACTATATACAAATTCACATTGTTCTTTTCCCTCCAGGCAGATTTGCAGATGTAATCTGGGTTCCCAAGCCCCTCTGAATTTAATTCACTGTCACTGATTTTTTTCCTCCCACAGAGAGGCAAAAGAGAGCTCGCGCAAAAATAGAGAATATATACGAAAAAAAAAAAATAGAGCCACAGCTTTTTTTTTTAATATAAAAGCTTGTACACGATCACTTTAGTAAGCATCTAGTGATGTTTTACTGTTTTACTGAGGGCCCCTGAAGAGCCCACACTTCTGTAATTGTCCCATTCACTTCTTCATGACAACTAAATTAGTTGCTCAAGTGAGCTTTTAGTTCTTTTTCAGCAAGGTTCGCGACACTAGTCTCACCACTTTTGCCTGGACTTTGCAAGGGATTTTTCCCTTAAAATGTACTGCTTTAAACAGTGGGGGTTTCCCCAAGTTATCCTTTGCTTTGGAAGTGTTGCAGTCATAGAGCAGAAACCTTAATTTCTAAATGCTACAATAGACCATGATCTAACATCTTAATCCTGTTATTGCTTTCTGAGTCCTAGGTGCTACACAGGTATGTAGTCTTTCTCTAGCACTAGCTGTATGCTTATGTTGTAATAACAGGGTTACTGACAAGGTTTATCAGCCTTACCCTTGGTGTCATAAGACATGAGTGGTATCCCTCTACCACGCAGCACTGGCTCTTAGAGGGAGCCTGGAGGAAACTCAGATTACTCGGGATCTCTTCCTGTCGCTCCGTTGTTTGTGCCTCTGTTGTCGAGTCCTGTTCACCAGTGGATACTTAGCTGCTGCTGAGTCCACCACACACATTTCACTGCTGTTCAGAGGTACCATGTTTGACTTAACAGATACAAAACCATGGTACTACAAACAAGTTTAAACCTGTTGGTAACTTTTGAGCATTTCACAAACAACATTGTAAATGTGCGATGTTATGTTTTAAATCAGACCACAGTGGTCCCCAAATATTATGTACATATGCCAACTGTCAGTGTAACTTTTTATTACACTGGCAATTTCATAGGTAATGAAACCTATGCTCCAATGTTAAATTATTTGTGTGTATATGTAAAATACACGAGCTTTAAGCTATCTGTGTAAGACTATGAAAGATAATGCAACCATACCAGTTGTGAACAGTGGATTATAGTTATGTTTGGTGGTAATAATTTATGTAATTTCAAGATCTGTTGTATTTTCTCTTCCACATGCCATTCATTTGCTGATTCTTGTGGTGTGACTATGCCAGTTTATTCATTTGAGCTCAAAGCACAGTCATCTCACCGTTTAATGTTACCCAACAAGAGTTAGTGTAAAGTGATGACAAGTTCCCATTTCACCCGTTAACTTTTGCTTCATCAATTGGTGACACCTGGATGAGGAGATGTGCGCTGACTTCATTGCTCACCCTGGGATACTGCATGAGCCCATGGAATTAGAGCTACTCCTATTAGATAAACGGGCAGTACACATAGGTGCATGTTCTAAAACATGAGTCACATAGAGCTGTGGAGTTTTGCCAAGTGGTACGTGTGTGACTTTAGCTTCTGTTTTTCTTTCTTTCTTTTTTTTACTATGCAAAGATGGGAAATGCACAAACTTCTCAAAGACTAGTGTCTGAAGAACTTTCCGAACAGTACTTGAATCCTCTCTTTAAAGTCATCCCACCATACTTTATAGCCATTGTTGCTTCCACTGTTAATTTTCATTTTTAAATGGTTTCCAGTTCTTTAAGTGCACAGCCTGAAGTTTTGCTGGAAGCTAATAAATTCATTCGTATCTTGGTTGTCTATAGATGGGGATTCAGTAGTCATTGTATGCATCTTCAGTCAAGTGTATATTAAAACTTTTGTTAACATTGAATGTTGTAGTTTTTTACTTTGGTCATTTTTCTTAAACCCTTTTTCTGTGCTGTCTTGTGTTGTTGATTCAATGGCTGTGCACCAGATATCTTTTAGCGCCGGTCTCTCAATCAAATTTAATCGGTCAATGGAGCAAAATAAAATCCTGATTGATGGTAAATATATTGCTGATTAGGATTCAGTTTCAGTGGATTTATTGGAAATGCTTTGCTTTTTATAAGTTGGGGGAAAAAAACACAGTAGGGTCATGCCATTACTATATTTCTTTCTTTGGTGACTCTCTTCTGAGCTTAAATAGGGGATAGCTAGTCATACATTAGCACTTTTGACCCTGGTACCATTAGAATCAAACTAAAAAGAAAATAGAAGTGTTTGGTTGTCTCCATTGTAATACCAAAAACATTCAAAGGAAGGTATTTCCTCACACCTTACATAGGATTGTTCAGCAAATAATAATCTTTTTTATGAATGTCTCTCAATGTCTCCTCTCTTGTCCCACTGCCCTCCTTTGGTTTGGCATCAGCAGCTGCGTGTATCTCACACAAAGGTACTGCAGTAACACAGAGAGCCTAATCTGACTACGTCATTCATCTGATAGAGTTTGTAGCAGTTCTTCATTTACTATGGGATAAAGCCCAAACCTAACAATATGACTTAAAGTGCTAGCTGCCTTTCATGACCTCACCCTCGTTTATTTTTCTAGTCTTCATCAATTCTTATCCTCCCATAATCACCATGCTTAGAGTTCCCCTCAAGAGCCTTATCTGCCCAAGTCTGAAGAGTCTGATGTAAATTTTATGTCTGATCACCATAGTTCATTTGTTTTGATGTCATTGTGTATGATAAAAGAAATATGGAACACTTAAAGTAACATGAAAATTATACTTTAAATAAAGAATATTAGAGTATAATTTATCAGTATATTTGACTTTAAAGGAATTATCTGATTTTTATGTTTTTCTTTCTCATTCCACTTTTGAGGTTGACACTGAATTGAATTCTCTCATGCTCCCTTGGTAACTGTGAAAGGTGACCCAGAAACTTTCTAGAAAATAGGACAGCAGGCCTAGAGTTAAAACTTTGATATAAATAATTAGGTGGATAATCCATATACTCACAATGGAATTCCTAAGTAACCTTTCAAATTTAATGTAGGCCCCCTTTAGGTTAATTACAAAAGTTAGGGATTTCTACTCATTAGTTTATTCATTTGACAAGTGTTTATTAAGCTTCTGTGCCAGGAACTCCACCTGGGACTTGAAGGAATAGAATAAAATTCTAGGTGCTGAGGTGCTCACAGTTTAGCATGGGAAGACACGGTGTCTAAACAAAACAAAACCAAACCAAAAAAATAAAAACAAACAAACAAAAAAAACTCTGAGCCCAAGGTGGTAAGTTAACTAAATCATGTAGGAAGTGAAGATAAGAGGACTGGTGTCAGGAGAGGGATGCAGGAAGGCTTGCTGAAAATGAGTGTTGACCTGTCTTGAAAGATGTCAAGTTCACTGGTCTAATAAACTGGGAAACCCTCAAGGCTTAGGAAGTAGTATGCTTCAAGACCCAAGAAGAGGAGCCCAGACACTCTGGGTAAGTAGTGCTAAGTGTCTCTTTGCTTCCATCTGGCCTATGTTTCCTAACGTTCTGCTAGCCTGCCATCCTCCTCTCCCACCCCCCACCCCCACCTCCTTACTTCTTTCCTTCCTACCTTTCCCAAACTTGATCTATAAAAATTCTGCAGTACTATGCCAGGTCCCAAGGACACTATGACTCTGAGCTCTCAATCTTCTAGCAAGACGCAACATTTAAATTCAATGTGATAAGTGCCCTGATAGACTTAAGAAATTCGGTGCCTCAGGAGAGAGGAGGGAGACTACCTCTGCCTTTTGAGTTTAAAGAGGTAAGAGGAAGTGGCACTTGAGCAGAGAGGCTGTGCCATGGACCTAAAGCCATGATCAGGTGTTGTCACGTTTAACCAGGGCTTGCTTTTGTTGACAGAAAGAAGTCTGTCTACAAATGCCTTGGGAGTAGAATAGTCTATATAATATTCAGACTTAATTTTCTGCTCCAGATATCTGGATTTCTTTTTTTTTTTTTTTTGATATCTGGATTTCTTTTGCCAGAATGATGATGATTATTATTAAAAAGTTCTCCATCAAAACCTAATATTTTTAGATATTTTTCCACCAATGAGCTTATCATAGATCAGTCTTCAGTGTTTGGGGCTGTCAGTAATGACAATGAGGGCTTCTTGATCTGAGCTGTAAACCCTATTTTCTTAGTATAAAAGTCCCCAGCTAACCTCAGTCTGGAGTGAGGGGATGGATAAGAACCATAAATGCTTTTAAAGCATTATTTAGTAAGTCTTTCAATTCATGAGGGATCAAAATCATCTTCCAAGTGTAACTTCACTTCCATTCCACCAAATTTGCTATTTATCTCTTTTTTTATGCCTTAGAAAGTTATCCTTCCTCAGTCTTTTCAAAAACCTATTAGCTTCTCTGGCTCCTTGACTAGAACAAATTGCTGGTCACATATTTGGTTTCTGGTGAGAAAGGAAACATATGATCCCTCATCACTTGAAAACGGTTGTCCTGCTGGGATCTTCCGAGGTCCCCTTTGCCAGTCCATCATCTGAGGACACACCCTTGTCCTGGTGTGGCTGAAAGGCTGCACTTGTGACCCTACAGTGTTCACCCAAGAGAACATTTATCTGACTGTGATGATCACTGAAAGCCAGATTGACCCAGGAAATTGAATGGTCCCTCAAAAACAAGGTAAAACAGAAAAATCTTCATCCTGAGTGATCAGGAAGGTATCAAGCGTTCTTCAGATCTATTTGGAGCTTTAAATAGCTTCCAGCCTCAGGAGGTAAATGAGCTGACAGCAGAGTTACCTGCTTCTTCAGACCCAGGTCTCAGACTGAAAGAAGGAAGATGGTAACTTGTAAATGACATCAGGGTGGCCTCTGCCCTGCAGCAAGAGACAGCACCACTGAGCCAGGGTCACTCCCATAGGGATAGTGAATGGACGGTACGCAGTACATTTAAACTGCTTTTCCTATCAATACATAGGTGAAATGGTATGAAGTAAGGGTGCCCATTATCCATATGAACAGAACAGCAGTCTAGGAGACAAAAGAACCAAGGAGACCGAGCTGAGCTGGAGAGCACACACCCAGTCTCTGTTCCACTCCAGCCAGTGGTCACCACGTGGAAAACTGGACCGCTCACTGCTTCACGTGCATGCTAAGTCAGTTGTGTCCAGCTCTTTTCGGCCCCATGGACTGTAGCCTGCCAGGCTCCTCTGTCCATGGGATCCTCCAGGCAAGAATACTGGAGTAGGTTGCCATGCCCTCCTCCAGGGGATCTTCCCAACCCAGGGATCAAACCCACAACTCTTATGTCTCCTGTGTTGGCAGGAAGGTTCTTTACCGCTAGCACCACCTTCATTGCCTCTCCCACTCATTTTTCTAGAGAAGCCATCAGTCCAGATTCATATATAGAATTACCTTTTTTTAAAAAAAAAATCATGCAGCAATTCATACTTTAAAAAGACCACGTGGATAAAGGCAGTGCAAACAGAAGCTGTCTTTGCACAGAATTGAGCCTATAGCCCCTTGCATGTAAGTTCTACATAAAATAATGAGATGTTTTCACATGCAACCCCTGCAATCTTCTTGATCGTTTCAGCGAGTTTCAGCGAGTGTGCAGACGCGACCTTGACCTCAGTCAGGGTTGCACGTGGCCGTGTGAAGAGTCACGCCAGCATTTTCATGAGCTGCCACTTACATGTCAACCTACTGCTGTTTCTTGGGGACTGAAAGCCACAGGGGATCAAAGGAAGCCTGTCTGAAGCTACTTCCTTTTGGTGGTACATTGAGTGCTAAGCTGATTCAGATGTGCTCATTTGTGGGAGATGGACTGGTCTAGTGTTGACAAATAGACATTATCTCAATGCTTACTATAGCAGCGTAGTGGCTGCCTTGCTCCTTCACCATATCTACCATTGGTTCGAGAGAGAGCTGAGGTTGATTATGCATGTCTGCTACGTGGCAACAAGAAGTACAGGACTGGGTCCAACCAAATCTTAAGGACAGTATTTCTTTCAGTTTGACTCTCAAGGCCAGTTAGATACAGGGATGAATCAGCCAATGTGGCAAGTCCAAAGGTCCTTGTATAACTTTTTGGAAATAAAGGAAATAAAGGATTCTTGAGCAATGAAATTCAGAAACTGAAAAATCCATCAGGAAAGAGTGATGAAAAATCTACGTGTTTATCGCAGAAAATGTGGAAAACAAAAAAATTCAAGAAAATTAAAATCACTGTAATCTAGTCACTGGCATATACACTCCATTAATACTTTGGTAATTTCTTGAACCCTTATTTTGTTTTTTCCTGTCAGCACAGAATCAGGTCACAAAGGTAGGCAGCCAGTGGATCTCTGGGGATCTGTGGTTCTACGTCCCTGCTCATTTGTGTGTGTGTGTGTGTGTCTAAGTGTGTGTGGATGCCTGTGTATGTATGTGTGTATGTGTGCATGCCCTACTGGCTCCAGAAAAGGATGGGATAGTTGAATCGTTAGAGAAAAGGTATGCTTTCTAGCCTCTCAGCTGTGGCTCAGACTATTTCCTTCACTGGGAAGACTTCGCCTTCCTCCCACAGCTCCAGTCACATTCCTGTGCATCACTTGGGGATGCACAGGAATCCAAAATGACTTCCTTCACAAAGTTTTTCACGATTCTTCCATAGCTATCTAGATCATACAGAGTGTGAGAGCTCCACTTAGTGATGGAGTGAGAATGAACCCCCAGATCTTTTAGACTCCAGAGCCCATATTCCAACTACATCACTATGTGGCCCCTCTTGTATTTCCATTTTACAGTTGAAAACCTCGAAGTTGGAAAAGTTTAACACCTTCATCGTGATCATCATTCTAGTAAGTGGTAGGACCAGTGTCAGGACACAGACGGCCCAATTCCTAATCCTCGTCTGAATCCAAGACCACGTGTGATGCACACATACAATGAGCATGAGGTGTAATCAGAAAATGTTTGGAGAGAATCACTTTCTGCCTATGTTTGTGGGCTGATTCTGCTCGAAGCTACTATAGAAACCACTTCCACTGGGAGGTAGTGGGAGGGTCCCCAGTTAGAGAACTTGTGATG